CCCGTCTCTACTAAAAATACAAAAAATTAGCCAGGTGTGGTGGCATGTGCTTGTAATCCCAGCTACTCGGGAGGCTGAAGCAGGAGAATCGTTTGAACCCGGGAGGTGGAGGTTGCAGCGAGCCGAGACTGGGCCACTGTACTCCAGCCTAGGCAACAAGAGTAAAATTCTGTCTCAAAAAACAAACAAACAAACTAGTTGTGGAGAGAGGGTGGCCTGTATCTCATCCCAGTGTTTAATGGGATTTGTCATCTTCCTTGCTGCCTGTTTAGGACAAAGTATTTTGGACAGATATCATCAATGAAGCCATTTTCAGTGCCAACCGCCTCACAGGTTCTGATATCAATTTGTTGGCCGAAAACCTACTGTCCCCAGAGGATATGGTCCTCTTCCACAACCTCACCCAGCCAAGAGGTAAGGGTGGGTCAGCCCCACCCCCCCACTTGAAACCTCCTTGTGGAAACTCTGGAATGTTCTGGAAATTTCTGGAATCTTCTAGTCTATCTGATGATCTGGTTCCTGCCCTGACTCCGCTTCTTCTGCCCCAGGAGTGAACTGGTGTGAGAGGACCACGCTGAGCAATGGCGGCTGCCAGTATCTGTGCCTACCTGCCCCACAGATCAACCCCCAGTCGCCCAAGTTTACCTGCACCTGCCCGGACGGCATGCTGCTGGCCAAGGACATGAGGAGCTGCCTCACAGGTGCGGCACACGCCTTGTTTCTGTGTCCTGTGTCCTCCAACTGCCCCTCCTGAGACTCTCTGCTTATCTGTCAAATGGGTACCTCTAAGTCATCGTGAGGACTCGTGAGTCGGGAAAACCATACTTTTCTTTCCGTGGATGGACACATCAGCACTGGGCTGGACATATACCCAGTTCCCCTTTGATACCTGGTTTCCTCTTTCCCGGACCCCTGAAGAGGTGATATGATTTCTGACAAGGGCCCTGAGAGAGGAAATGGTCCCCTTTGTTGACTTTTATTTCTCTTTTTTGAGATTTGCTGTGTCACCCAGGCTGGAGTGCAGTGGTGCCATCTTGGCTCACTGCTGCCTCCCCTATTGGGTTCAAGCAATTCTCATGCCTCAGCCTCCCAAGTAGCTGGGATTACAGACATGCACCACCACGCCTGGCTAATTTTTGTATTTTTAGTACAGACAGGGTTTCTCCACGGTGGCCAGGCTGGTGTCGAACTCCTGACCTCAGGTGATCCACTCACCTCTGCCTCCTGAAGTGCTAGGATTACAGGCATCAACCACCGTGCCAGGCCCCCTTTGTGGACTTTTCTCATCTTCTGAGAAAGTCTCAATTGAGGCCAACACCTCCCTCAAGCAAATTGAATCTCCCTTTTGTTTTTTTGTTTTTTTTGAGACGGAGTCTAGCTCTGTTGCCCGGGCTGGAGTGCAGTGACCGGATCTCAGCTCACTGCAATCTCCGCCTCCCGGGTTCACGCCATTCTCCTGCCTCAGCCTCCCGAGTAGCTGGGACTACAGGCGCCCGCCACCTCGCCCGGCTAGTTTTTTGTATTTTTTAGTAGAGACGGGGTTTCACCGTGTTAGCCAGGATGGTCTCGATCTCCTGACCTCGTGATCCGCCCGTCTCGGCCTCCCAAAGTGCTGGGATTACAGGCTTGAGCCACCGCGCCCGGCCTTTATTTTATTTTTTTATTTTTTGGTTTCTTTTTTTTTGATACAGGGTCTCACTCTGACGTCCAGGCTGGAGTGCAGTGATGGGATCATAGCTCACTGTGGCCTCTACCTTCTGGGCTCAAGCGATCCTTCCACTTCAACCTCCTGAGTAGCTGGGAGTACAGGCGTGCACCACCACACCTGGCTAATTTTTTGTTGTTGTTGTTGTATGTAGAGATGAGATTTTGCCACGTTGACCAGGCTGGTCTTAAACTCCTGGACTCAAGAGATCCTCCTGCCTTGGCCTCCCAAGGTCATTTTAGACTTCTCCTAATCATTAGGCGCACACTTATTAGAGGGGCTTGCAGCCATGTGGCACTCAGAAGACGTTTATTTATTCTTTCAGAGGCTGAGGCTGCAGTGGCCACCCAGGAGACCTCCACCGTCAGGCTAATGGTCAGCTCCAAAGCCGTAGCGACACAGCACACAACCACCCGGCCTGTTCCCAACACCTCCCAGCTGCCTGGGGCCACCCCTGGGCTCACCACGGCGGAGACAGTGACGACGTCTCACCAAGGTAAAGGCTGGGCCTTCCCTGGGCCCCCCTTCCCCAGGAGGTGGGCCCCTTCAGTGGCCACGAACATTTTGGTCATGAGATGGAGTCCAGGGTGGCGTCCTCACTCCCTTGCTGACCTTCTCTCACTTGGGCCATGTGTCTCTGGGCCCTCAGTTTCCCTATCTGTAAAGTGGGCCTAATACCAGTTCTTGCCCTCTTTGCAAGGATTAAATGGGCCAAATCATATGAGGGGCCGGGTCCTTCAGGTTCCTGGTTCCCAAAGTCAGCCACACACAGTCTGGGTCCTGAAATTTTATCAAGGCACATTCGCTGCCTCACCTTCAGGCATCCGCCCAGAAAGGCCAGGACTCAGGCAAGGAGAGGGAGGGATTCCTCAGTACGCAGCTTTTCGCAGAGGCTCCAAAAGGCTAAGGAATCCAGTACATTTTAACACAATTTTACAACTTTTTTTTTTTTTTTGAGATGGAGTTTTGCTCTTGTTGCCCAGGCTGGAGTGCAGTGGCGCAATCTCGGCTCACCATAACGTCTGGCTCCTGGGTTCAAGCGATTCTCCTGTCTCAGCCTCCGGAGTAGCTGGGATTACAGGCATGCACCACCACGCCTGGCTAATTTTGTGTTTTTAGTACAGACAGGGTTTCTCTATGTTGGTCAGGCTGGTCGTGAACTCCCAACCTCAGGTGATCCGCCCGCCTGAGCCTCCCAAACTGCTGGGATTATAGGCATGAGCCACCACGCCTGGCCTTTTTTTGTTTTGTTTTGTTTTGTTTTTTGAGACAGAGTCTCGCTCTCACCCATGCTGTAGTGCAGTGACGCGGTCTCGGCTCATTGTAACCTCCGCTTCCCAGGTTCAAGCGATTCTTCTGCCTCCGTCTCCCAAGTAGAGTAGCTGGGATTACAGGCACCGCCGCCATGCCTGGCTAATTTTTGCATTTTTAGTAGAGATGGGGTTTCACAATATTGGCCAGGCTGGTCTCAAACTTCTGACCTCAAGTCATCTGCCCGCCTCGGCCCCTGTCAAGTGCTGGGATTATAGGCGTGAGCCACCACACCAGGCCTACAATTTATTTTTTGGTGACTCATACCTGTAATCCCAGCACTTCGGACGGCCAAGGTGGGAGAATGGCTTGAGCCCAGGAGTTCAAGTCCAGCCTGGGCAACACAGCAAGACCCTATCTCTACTACAAAATAAGTAACAAAGAAACTAATTTTTTTTCTTTTAAAACCCAACTATTCAACATGGTAATGCAATATATTTTTTAAAATTCTTTTTTTTGAAACGGAGCCTCTCACTGTTGCCCCGGCTGGAGTACAGTGTCGCCATCTCGACTCACTGCACCCTCCACCTCCCGGGTCCAAGTGATTCTCCTGCCTCAGCCTCCCAAGTAGCTGGGATTACAGGTGCCCACCACCATGCCCGGCTAATATTTTTGTATTTTTAGTAGAGACGGTTTCACAATGTAGGGCAGGCTGGTCTTGAACTCCTGACCTCGTGATCCACCCGCCTTGGCCTCCCAAAGTGCTGGGATTACAGGCATGAGCCACGGTGCCTGGCCAAAACTTCTTTATTTTTATTTTTTTGGGACACGGTCTCACTGTGTACCCCAGACTGGAGTGATAGAGCACTGTCACGGCTCACTGCAGCCTCAACCTCCTGGAGACCAGGTGATCTTCCCGCTTCAGTCTCCCAGGTAGCTGGGACTACAGGCATGAGCCACCACACCCAGCTAATTTTTGAATTTTTTTGTAGAGACGGGGTTTCGCCTTGTGGCCCAGGCTGGTCTCCAACTCCCGGGCTCAAGCGATCTGCCCACCTTGGCCTCCCAAAGTGCTGAGATTAATGCAATTTAAACAAAATTTTGGCCAGGCATGGTGGCTCACGCCTGTATTCCCAACACTTTGGGAGGAAAAGGCGGGCAGATCACTTGAGGTCAGGAGTTCGAGACTAACCTGGCCAACATGGTGAAACCCCCAGTCTACTAAAAAAACACAAAAGTTACCTGGGCATAGTGGTGGGCGCCTGTAATCCCAACTCCTCGGGATGCTGAGGGTAGAGAATTGCTTCAACTTGGGAGGCAGTGAGCCAAGGTCATGCCACTGGACTCCAGCCTGGGTGACAGAGCAAAACTCTGTCTCCAAAAACATTTTTTTTTTTTTTTTTTCAAATCATCACAGTATAGCCAAGGCCTGGCCACTTGCTTCTGTAAATAAAGTTTTATTGGAGCCAGCGGTCCAGTGAGGCCGAGTCCTGCAGGTGTAAGATCATAGCCGATCCTTGGAAATGTTGATATTTTGTTCATTGGGGGATTTTTTCATTAATTTAAATTTTAAAAAATAACATATTAAAGGCCAGTGTGGAGGTGCATGCCTGCAGTCCTAGCTACACCCAGAGGCTGAGGCAGGAGACTCGCTTGAGCCCAAGAGTTGAAGTCCAGCCTGGGCAACATAGTAAGACTCCCATCTCTAAAAATAAAAATAATGCATTAGAATATTATTGGATTCCTGGGCAGGGCACAGTGGCTCACACGTGTAATACCAGCACTTTGGGAGGCTGAGGCAGGCGGATCACCTGAGGTCAGAAGTTTGAGACCAGCCTGGCCAACATGGTGAAACTCTGTCTCTACTAAAACACAAAAATTAGCCAGGCGTGGTGGCACACACCTGTAATCCCAGCTACTCGGGAGGCTGAAGCATGAAAATCACTTGAATCCAGGAGGCGGAGGTTGCAGTGAGCTGAGATTGTGCCATTGCACTCCAATCCTGGGGGACAAGAGTGATACTCCGTCCCCACCCCACCCCCCAAAAAAAAGGAATATTATCGGATTCCTAAGCTTTTTGGCTCCTGCTTTAGTTTGGGGACTGGGGTGAGGGTCTGGCTGTCTTCGTCCTATAAGACCTGGTCTCACTGTGCTCCCTGGATGTGATGAGACCCAGGTATGGGTCAGGACGTCATTCATTTGTCCACCAGAGGGCGCCCAACCTGCTTTGAGCTGCTGGGATATGGTGCTCCTAGACTTCTAGCAAACAAAAAAAAATGGCACATCAGCAAATTTCAGACCATTCTTTTTTTTTTTTTCCCCCAGAGTAGCTGAAACCTTTGTTCAGTTACAAGCAGGATAAAATGGAAACTGCCTGGGAGAGGCCAGGAAACCTTCTTTCTTTGGGAAGGTGGGGCACTGCTAGAATTCCAGACCTCCTCAAATTTGGCAAAGAAGCCATTCATTCATTCGTTCGTTCGTTCGTTCGTTCATTCATTCGTGTAGAGAGGAGGGAGTTCTGGCTATGTTGCCCAGACTGGTCTCAAATTCCTGGCCTTAGGTGATTCTCCTGTCGTGGTCTCCTAATGTGCTGCGATTACAGGCGTGAGTCACCGTGCCTAGCTCTAGTGGACTTGAAATGTTGACTTGCCTGGGGCCTTTATGTTGAATGGCCCAGGTCTACCTGCATGGTTCTGTACCAAGGTTATCCCCATCCCATAATTCGTGGGACAGTTGATGCAGGACAATCAGCCTCTGTGCCATTCAACTTCAGGACTGAGCATGCTGGGCACTGTGGGATCCGAAGGTGGCTCCCCTGTCCCCTTCAAAATACACTCATTGTTTTTCTTTTCTTTTTCTTTTTTTTTTCTTTTTGAGATGTAGTCTTGCTCTATTGCCCAGGCTGGAGTGCAGTGGCACGATCTCGGCTCACTGCAACCTCTGCCTCCTGGGTTCAAGTGATTCTCCTGCCTCAGC